TGACTCTCATGGGCTTCAAACTCAGTGCTAACCACACTAACGATAATCCTTTATGTCTCCCGAGTTTATCCGTGTTCCTTGTTAACCTTCAGTCACAAAGTAATGAGATGCATCAGACATCATCAAGCTGGCCTAAGGGGTTACAAATTTGGATGAGGGCCACATACTGTACTAATTGCTTCTAATAAATTACATATTTCAGGAGGGATATCATGATTTTAATCATTTATTCTGCATGTTGTTTCCTTTGGAGAGAAGAACAAGCAGGCGCTAAACAAGCCAAGCATCTGAAATTCATGGCAGAAGCTAGAAAGTGCTCATTTAATATCAACCATCATTGTAAATACTAGAATTATGCATGTATCAAATCCCTAAGTCCGAACACTTTGGGAACAGCCAGTGAGTCCTCGTTGTTTTAATGAGTCAAACCAAAATGATGTCTTTGAATGTTCCTTAGATTTGTAACAACCCAAATTTAATCCCATTTCAGATCTTGTAGCTGAGGCCTAGCTCAAGAAAAAGTCTTTGTTTGTATGCAAAGAAAAATACATTAAGAGGGGAGTTTAAAGGATGTATTTCCCAAAAGGCTGCAAGGGAAAACAGTCTAACATACCTTTCACCTCTGAGGGGAACGACTTCAATTATGATTTGATGGCAGCTAATTGCAAAGGTGGTCCAGTGAACACACAGAGCTGCAAGAAGTTTCTTTGAAACCTGCTTAAAATTAGTGGGATCTTGCTGCTGATCTGAAGAGCCTCCTGCAGGGTGAACTAGGACAAAGAAAGGCTTCCTATTTCCCTGACCTCTAGCACACCCTCACTTGCAGAGTCACTGTTAATGAAATCCTCAAACCACTTGGGAATGTGCACTTCCTTCACAGGGGGAGACCTTGATGGTATTTTAATAGCTGCTAGTATTAATAGTAATAGCTGGTAGAAAATGTGGAGACTTGGGAGCTCTAGGGAGCAATGCAGGTTTGGGAATAGCTCAACCTCTCTTCTGCTTGTCTTTGTAAACCTTGTTTCCTGAAACTTCAGTTTGCATTTCCTTTCCAGGATGAGCTGAGATACCAAACAAAATGTGACTATCTAGGTAAAAGGGAGCCTGCCTCGGTACAGATTATGCCTTGGGATGGAAAGTGGTAGCTGTAGCTCTGATACTCAAGTGCGTTCTTTTGATTTCAAGTGATAATGAGACACCAAGGAACCACCATTACCTGCGATAAGTGCAAACTTCTTCTGCCGTGGCAGTCTAAGCTGCCTTGCACTTGGTTCCTCTCTACCTGGGAGGGTTAATATCCCATTTTAGAGTTCTCTGGTGACTGTTGGGGGAAAAACAAGACTTCTATCTTTGTAGATGGATGGATGGATGGATGGATGGTGGACGGATGGATGGATGTGCTAAAATAGCTGGACATCTACTTTAATGCAGGGGAAAAGGACCAAAGCATTCTTCTTGGTTTTGTCATCCAAAACAAGAAGAAGATTAGTAAATAGGAGAAACAGGCCTTACGCAATGAAAATTGGCTGGAAAAGATTTACCTAGGTAAAACTGGTGACTCTTCAAATTGAGAAACCTTTCTTTGCTTTTTGGGTTTTTTTTCTGAGTGTTTTTCCTAAGGGGGTTCAAGCCAACCTCAACATATGAAGAAGGTTAAAATGAAGGTGAAGGAAATTCAAGATTAGCATATTAGAGCATTGGAAGTTACAGGAGGATGAGTGAATTTGAAGTTCACACATAAAAGCGCAAGAGTAGCAGAAGAAAAAGGTGACACAAATGAGAAATAGAGATGATGAATTCTGAGTTAAGAGTGCTGCTATACCTGGAAAAAAATGTGAGAAGAGGTAAACCACAATTTACTGAAAACATGGTGGATTAATTTGATGCAATCTTCAGATACTGACTTTTGCCAACATTGCATGCTACAAAAGACCGTGGAACTAACAAAAACCAGTGTAGCAGGGTTAGAAGAAGAAATATTTTAGAAAACAAAATGGAAAACCTCTGTGACATCCATTAGGTTTGGTAATACAATATTAACAAAAAATACTGCACTGAGCTGTTATCTGGTTTGCTGTCTGATTCATTCCCCAAGTTACTACTTAAATCAATAGCTCTCACATTGATTTTTCCAGCACACTGTATTCCAGTAAAAAGAACAGTGCTCTGAGATGAGTCAGCTATTTTCTCCATCTGTAGGGACTTTGGTGCATTTTCATTTAGGAAAGTGAAAGCAAGAGCCAAAGTACATGCAAATATATAGTAATAAGAACCTGCCTGTTGCCCCATAACATGACACTGGCTCTGCAGACACACAGGTTTGCTACAGCTCGCTGCAGCAACTCCAGACCTGCCTCCAGCTAGAGCAAGCCTTTGTAAGGATGGAACCAAAATATTTGGAGGTGATTTTAGACAGATAATAACATTATCTTTCAGTTTAGGTAACTGCTGTGGCAGAGAGGAAGAATATTCCCACACTTAACTAAGAAGCTGATCTCCATATATTTACCATGACGAACCTCAGTAGTACTGCATTTTCATTTCTTTCATATGTTTTTACATATTTGCATATTCCCTGTAACATGTACTATCCTCCTGGTACTGTAAGTAGTCATCACTATTGTCTGATGTTGCTTCTGCTCCTTTAAAACATGTAAATTTCATTTTCTGTTTGTAATCACAACATGCACATTTGTCAACTCTTGCTTAGCTGAAACAGGTAACTTTTTCTCACGCAATTTTTAACTATTTCAAGGGATTTGCAAAAAGTGCAGCAAAAACATTTTCAGGAGAAACAATAATCTCAAGTGCTGTTTGGAGGTTTGGAGTCGGGCTGAAGCTCCTGCCACAGCCCCTGGTCTCTCGCACAGCTCTCCCCACATGGCTGCTGTCTTGGCTTCCATGCTCTGCACCTCTCTGTGAGCTTGGCTTATTTCTGGAAACTTTGACTTAACAGCAGCTAAAGCCTACTAAAATGCTGGAGAAGTTAACAAATGAAAATGTTTGCTCCTCTTTGCCACTACTGTTTTATGACTATTTGTTATCTCCATCTTTGAACGTAAAATACTGAGTTACAGTCCATCTATCCCACCTTCCATTAATCAGAGTCTTGGGGGATATGGAGCAGCCAAAGGGGAGTAAAGGACAGAGGTTCAGCGTCCAGAATCTCATTCTGTACTCTGTATTGAACACCATATTGTGAATACACTGAGGTAGAAACAGCCTACAGGGCATAAACGTATGTAAAGCTGTGGGAATAGTGTGCAATTACGAAGCCCCATATTCTGAAAATACTGTTAAATACTGTTATCTTCAACTGCCATAAACCTAGAACAATTTAAATCATTACAAAAACTCTGCTTCTCAGTAATGCTTTTGCAGTATTATGTATTTCACATTGCTTCATGCCTGTCTCCTAATCTCCTTGTCTAAACAAAATAACGTTCATGTTTTCGTAACAATGAAGAGGAAGCTATAATGAATTCTTACGTCAAGTAATTTTCAAATAGAAAGGATAGTATTTATGGCAGTTACAGTATGGTAAATCTGGAGCAATCCAGCCTGTTTACAGGAAGAGTTATCAACTTCTAGGTGTCCATCTGTGTATATGGGAACACCATGTAGTTTAAGATCAAGGAGAGGCATTTTGTGCTTTGCTTTGCTCTGTTTACAAGATATTTCAGGTTAGTTGTGATCTATCCCGAATCACATACTTTTCTATTTTCCTCCTGTTCCCTGGGAATTAAGTTGATGCAGAAGCAAACTCTGCCAGGTACTTCCTCAGCTCTCAGCAGGGTATTAAAGGTAATGCTGAGGAGGCTGCAGTGCTTAAGAGGAGTTATAAGGACCTATGTTACAGAACACTTCATTTGCACAGTATTTAGTGTAGGCTTGTACAGCAAGACGATACAGCAGTGAGACTAGTAGGTGTTATTGCTACCCATGCAAAGCTTCTTCCTTCCACAAATTATTACAATTTACTCTAATAAGGTTATTTCTAATATCCAGCACACAAACTTTAGCTCACTTTGACTAACATCCTTGTGTGGCACCTAGTGATGTTTTAACTGTTGCTAAGATAAACACTAGAGAGCTGAAGCAGCAGAAGGAGATACATAGAACTGGCTGATATGGTAAATTACCTAACAAGAGCGGCAGTAATTCACACCACAAATCAGACATCCCACCTTTTCTTTTTTTGCCAGGTAGGAAATTGTGGGAAGGAAAATGAGTGGAAATTGAAGTTATTCATTATCTGCAAGAGACACCTGGCAGGAGAGCCTTTGGTCTGCAGTCTGAAAATAACCCTGCACTGACAAATGTCAGTCAGAAGTGCTGGGGAATCGCTATAGCTCTTGTTTCACTGCAAGCGCCATTAAGTCAAACTCTGTTCAGAGTTATTTGAGAAACAAGGCCTAAATGTAGCTTTCTGATCACATTTGCTTTTATGTTCATTCCTGAAAAGCATATAAGCCCTTTAAACATTTCCTGAGATTTCTCTCTGTAAGACAAGAAAGGCTCACGCTTCCTATGATCATATCCAGCCCACAACTTTGACTATTCTCTTTTCCAAAGCTGCCTGGAAAAGGAGGCAGAATATACAGGAGTGGTTTAAATAAGAAACAGAACTGTATGGCGTCAGCACTGATAAAATATATATTCAAGGAGTTCTCTTCACAGTTTGGCATTGCATTATCTTTTATATCAAACTAATATAAGTATGCAAAATTTTTTTTTTTAATAAAATAAACAAATTCGCCACTGCCGCAAGATTCTGTGATAAGGGCAAATGGACATTCAGTATCAGCAGGTAGCCAATGCCAGATAGTCACCTCAAAGCACAAGAAGAGTGATGGCTGAGCATGACCCCCCCCCGGGGCCCCTTCGGGCCCGCCCTCCGCAGGGAGCCAC